TTCTTAGTTGATTATGGGCACCTCAATTATTCGACTTTGAATCACAAAAGCGATTTGCGATGACTTCACTTAACTGCCTAATCATTGAATTTCATAACATAGACCTAACCACATCTTCTGCAAAAACGTAAAATCTTTTGGATCCAAGAAAAGAAACGTAAATAGTTATTTACGCTTGCAAGCTAAAATCTGTGTGATAGAGATTATGGTATAGGAGAGTTATCAACTTCAGCACTGTTACCTACGTAGGCTCGGAGTGATTATATTCTGTCACTCTGGATTGCATCAGAGATAATAAAGTAAAAATAACTTACCTCATCTGTTTGGACTCCGGGGAGATCAATGCTGAATGAGGCGCGAGATCTAGCAGACCCACCTATCGACCCGGGGGATCCAGTCCGCTTAGAAATCTTGGTTGCATTCGGACCATTCCCTGAGCTTTCGGCACAGATGCCGTTGGCCATACCGGTATTTACAGCATTGGCATCACCAGCGTTTCCAGGGGCCTCTTCGCCACCAGAAAGTTCTCCGTCGGGGTTATCTACATCCGGTGAGATTGAGAGGAACATCAACACATCCTCAGGTTCCTGCTCTTCATCACTGTAAAGTGATCCAAATGGAGAAAATGGCAAGAGATGGGGATGATGGCCAAAAGGGACCACTAGTCAAAAAATAATGCCATGATATTTGAGTAAGTATGGCTCAAAAATTATAACAAAATATCCGATGACATCTGGTTTATATCCACAGCGATGATCAGAGGAAATTAGGACTATTTTCGATGTCGGTAGTCCTCAAGACTGTATGAAGAAAAACTGGGTTTTGAAGAATTCCTTAGTGAGTTAGTGGCTCAAAGAAAAACATATCCAGGCAGACTTCGTGAATTGGTCTTACCTGAAACCAAAGGAGGATTGTTCTAGAAAGAAGACCATTGGATTGTGCACAAAACTCATCACCCTACCGTCCTGCGACTACGATGAACTCGTGCTGAGCTTTCGTCTGATCGCCATCTTCGCACAATTCAAAAGTCTTCATTACGCAGCAATCCTCCTTCGGTTTCCGGTAAGACCACATTACGAATTCCTTCCAACCAACTTTTCCTTCGAAATGGAAAGTCGTGTGACAATATATCACTAAGAAATTCTTCAAAACCCAGTTTTTATTCATATTTACCCTACACGCTTGCAAGTGGGTAAAATTTATTCATGAAGAAAAACGAATGCAGTGGTAGCTGATTCCTTACATAAACAAACTAGCGTACGATTCCCTAATGTCGACACATGTCCAGATATGTAGGATTATCAACTTTATGTAATAATATGCTTGAAGACAACATCAAAAGTTTCAATCATTAACTATAATTAAGATCAGACTTAGGCGATTATTGTCTTAAAATATTAGTTCCGATGACTTCCTTAGGCCACAAATAATCGCAGATAAGTAGTAAGACGAATATGTTTTGCAGGTAAGAAATGAACCGAATATAAAACTAAGAAATGTGAGTATAGAAATCAGCCCAAGAAAGCGAGTAATACCTAAATAAATGTAAAGGATGGAAAGTTTTTGAGAGACTAGAAGTTGAATTTTTCCACAATTATATGATTGGACCTTACGTTACCATTGGATTCAACATAACCTTTCTTCCAAAATGGTATTCTCATCCACAGTGGACTGCAGCTTTGACCCCGCCTATGTTTTATCAGCACCAAACCGTAGTAGTGCCACGGATAATCTCGACAGGCTAACTACAACGCCACACTGCCATAAGTGCGCTTGGATTAAAGAGTAGATATTACTTTCAAGGAATGCCAGGCATTTTCCTAAATCACACTCTGTGCTGTGATTGTCAACATAGCAAAATCGTATTTGCTATAGCAATCGATTAAATTACTTATTTTTCGTTTATAAGATGATTTTCTAAATTACCAGTAGATCGCATATATGACATGTATTCACCCTTACCTCATCCTCATCTTAGAAATAAGGACATTTCGTGCCAGAAAGTGGTAAAATTGCCCCAAATCTCATTGGAAATTTTCACTGAGGAGGTCTTTTAAAGGGTTTGAACTTTTTCTTTCCAAAAAGTAAGGACTTTAAGTAGGAATTACTAGAATTGATAAACTTAGCAGATAGTTCCCCAGAGGCTATTAATAGTTGCATTAGGTAACACCTTTTTCCTCATAATTTATAGCCATATAAAAAAAAGGAAAGTTAATATTATCATGAGAAAACCTAAAGAAAACGATTAATTAGTAGTAAGGGCAGACAAAAGAGGGGTATTTAATATTATGGATAAGACAAACTATGTAGGTAAAATGTTAAGGGCATTAGATGATGGAGAAATATATAAGGCTAGGACTCGACAGAGGGCCTTAGCTAAACGTAAGAAATGAAAGCACAACAGCGAGATACTATGCCCGTAAACGCTCATGGTCTGCCAAAAATTAATAAGGGAGGTAGTGTGATGCATAAAAAACACCACTTATTTGTAGTAAGTTAAGGCAGATCTACAAAATTGGGAAGCTTTCAATACGAATTGTTATGAATATAAAGTTAGCAGATGTTCAGTCGATAGAGATTTGCTGATCAGTATCAAAGTGGTGCCAGTGTAAATTAATATTCCGATATAAGAACCAATCAGGGATTTAGGTCTAAACTTAGCTCAACATCCTGGATCATAATATGGAAAAAGTTAGAAAAAGACTCAAGCATTTGATCAATAAATTTAGCCATGAATAGTGCATATTTTATCTTCAATTACAGGTAACATGGATAAACATGGGGCTTAGTCAGAGGAACTTGTTTACACCCTATTTTAACTAATAATTATATGGCTCTATTGAAGGTTTTATTTATGAGATGGGTACATCATATTCCGTTTGAGTTAATGAAGGGCTAGTGATTGAATTTTCCCGTAATCATATGACCTTACATTTCCATTGAATTTTATATAGCTTGCTTTCGAAAAGGTATTCTTATCCGAGATGGACTGAAGTTTCGAACTCGCATCTCATATAAATGATTTAATGATTGTCTCGGAACCCTAATCTCAAACGAAAAATAAGTAATGTAAGGCATGAAGACCAGGATGGTGTGGCCTTTTGTGTGGTCGCAGTCTCCTTTCGTAGTATAGACTGAAGATCGGAATTCTGAGGAGTTTGGTCATCAGAAGTTTTCGACTAGCGTACAATGAGTTCTGGTACGAGT